TGTTTGTAGACCAAATCAGAGTGCTATCAACATTTTGCAGCGTTAAATCCCCTTGTTGGGAAAGTTGCAATTGTGCCCCACGTCCAACTGGATTGCTTCGATTAGCCGACCATACGATTTGTGAATTCATGTCAGAGATGGAAGTGAAATTGAAGATGGAGATAGCAAAGAGGCAGGTGTTGTTTTGTTCAACTTTGCAGTGGAAGCCACAAACAAAATCCCCATTGACCAAAATAGGTTGCAGTGTCAACCAGCCTGAGTCCCAACTATAGTTTGAGACGTTGTTAATCCAAGTGCCTGGAGGCTTCGCAATTGATGGATAATCAAAAGCTTCACCATTTGCTAGAAGCAATGATGTTTTTAACAGAGCTAGAAAGGTAGCAAGAAAGTAGACAGGATACCGTCGCCTCCCAGCTACCATTTCTCTTATGATTTATTGCTCTAAAACTACACAATTGAGCAGCAAGACTAATTAAATGATTTATGAAGAAAAAAAATAGAGAGCACAAAGCACTAGAATGATAAGTTTGTAGATTTTTTTTTTCTCCTTTAATTGTAAACTTCGCTCACCATACAACTCCGTGCAAATTTCTAATTCTAAGTGATGTAAACTGGAACGAAAGGGAAAGATTAGTAATTATTTTGTTTAGATAATTTAAAATAAAAGAAAGATAAGAAAAAATAATATATTATTATATAATAAAAAATAAATTAAAAAAATTATTGTAAAATTTATTATAATTTTGTAATTTTATTTATTAAAATAAAAGTTAAAATAAAAGTTTTTAATTACATTTTGAAAAATAATTAAAAATAAAAATAAGTCTAATTCCTCCTAATTCTTCTAAATTGGAGGGATAAGAAAATGAGGAATTTAGGGGGATTTGGTCCCCTCCATTTACTCCCCATCCCTTTCAGAGTAATTTTTGGTAAGAGGAAGGGTTGCAACATTGAGACACTATACTGTTTGCCCACGGACGTTGACCAGAGATCGTGGGTGATTTTTAAACAAAGTGTTTTTCCAATTTGGGTTTTTTTTTTTTTT